TGTGCTGTCTATCACCTCTGGGAGCTGGATCAAGGATATCATTTTGCTGCACTGTGTAACACTACTGGTTTATGATATGATAATATTATTGGTCATGAGACTAATCTGGTATTTGTACTTAGCATTGATGTCTTCTCCATTCCTCAGGAGCCACTTTTCGGAAACTATTAAAAATTATATCTTTTACCTTTCCTCTTCAGGGAACCAATCTATGGGGGAGACAGGAGGGGACACTTTCCCCTGCTTCTTCACCTTCCCTTTCTCCTTCAGGCTAGTTAGAACAGTTCTTGAGAATTTTGAATATCCTTGGGATGTTCAAACCAGCATGGTCCTATTGCTATGTCTCCTGAATGTGGTTCAGGTCTTGTTTACGGTTAAACAATCATTTAAGAATACCATCCAGAGATCAACCCCTGTTGACAGGCACTGCAGCTACTCAAACCCCCATTGACAGGCACTGCGGCTACTCCAACCCACAAGTTACAACCTAATCAATAAACAGGGCATAAGAGATGGAAGCATGGGTTATAACAAAAGGACAAGGTTTAGCAAGAAATTATTTTTAAACCAGTACCCTGAGTATTTTACATTTGTACATGTATTTCTCAAAGCATCATTTGCTCGTGTGGCTGGGAGACAGGGTGTAAATCTGCAGTTGATGCTCTAACAGCAACATTTCCCTAGTGCTTCTATTAGCCATGGGGCTTTTCCTTTGCAACATTACAGACAAAGAAAATGTAAAGATGTATCAGAAATCTCACAGAATAAAACTGCAACATTAACTTGTGGCGGTAGCATCTGCACTAGCCTGCATAGCAAACACAGATACGGAGACAAGGTAGCAGGGGCTAAATACAAGGTCTCTGAAAGATGTAACGCTGGCTGGCAGCATGTACTCAGGTTCATGGTACTGTATCTCCGCTGCCTCCGATGCCAACAATAGCTCAAATAACCTAGAAGGGGCATGTCAAGGCATGTTGTGAGCGTTCCTTCTTTTGCTGTGTAGACAGAACCTGAGAGCAGTCTGACATTTTTACATTCAGTCTCTCCCAAGCACAGGCAAAAAAAGAATTTTTCTGTGGAGGATCAGCCCATGATTTTCAGTCACGCTTTCCTACCTAACCCCTCTCTTATGTTGCAGGTGGATCCGCAAATGGCTTTAATGAATTTATAAAGTTCACAACATTGCTCCTTACAGAATGCTGGATCTAAGTGAGAGTAAATATTAAAATGGTCAGAAGTAAAACTGCGGCTTTAACTTTCTCCTGTGAAATCATTTGTTATAAACAGCAAACATTAACATTCACACAAAGTTTTGCTTTTAAATATCCTACTAGAAGGCCTATAGCTTCCTGTGTTACCATCATGTGCAACAACTGATACAGATCTCAGCACCAGCATTGATTCTTCAGATCAATGCCTAAACATATACCAAGACAGCCAAGGGATTCCTCTCATAATGTGTAAGACATTGCTTCCATTTTCCGCTTCCATTTTCCAAGTCCATCACTGTGAATATAACCCTTCTCTTCAGACTTGCTTTTCTACTGACACCAGAATCAGGCTATAAACATCTGCAACAATACCTCGTTATTTCTTCCCAGTAACTCCCTTACCTAAAAGGATCTCGGCTCTTGCTGTGACAAAACCACTGCTTCTGAGGCTATTTCTGGCTTACTGTTTCCCACTTCTCTGCTTATATAGATCTTTTGTCTCCCGTTTCAGACTTTGGCTCTAAGCTATAAGCTTAACTGGAGAAGAAGCCATTATCTTAACACGTATTTGCACATCACTTAATCAAGGGGACTTGGTTCATAACTGGAATTCATGGCATGTGTAATTCATGTAAGTACTTATAACACTAATATCACATACTGGTATACCTCTATATAAAAAATACACCAACAGATCACCAGCTCATTTAAGATTGTTATTAAGAAAGAATAATAATTTCCCTTTAAAAAATGGCATAGTGTATAACAGCAACTTCTATACTTACAAAAACTGAAGTGAAATTCCTGTTTTCTTCAAGTTCGCAATGATAATTTCCAGCTGATCCTCACTGACAGGACTACTAAGGTCTGTAAACAGTTCAATGTGTCTCTTCTCATATCTCTTTCCTCTTAAAATACAAAAAGAACATTTACATATATTGGAAATATCTAGAAGGCCTTTTTCTAATTCTTTCCTTGGTAAAGCTTCAATTTTGCAAAGTGATATACTTGTAAAAAAAAAACAAAAAAACAAACCTACTTGGTAGAACTTGTTCTACCATTGCTTATATTATTTATGGTAAGTTTTTATCTTTATATGATTCCCCCTACTCACTCCCACCCCCTAAAATTGAGGACTCTAGCCCTGTGACTGTATAAATCACTAACTACATCTAAATGAATGGAATTCTGCCAATTTTCACCAATGTAGATAAAATGCTAATAAAATACATTAGGTTGTTTATTGATTATACTGGATATTTCCTTTGCAGCTGTAAGCCTGTCCTTGTGAAAATGGAAAATGTATTTTAAATTACTGTTGCTGGCGGGGGTTCCATTTCAGTAAGCTAATTCAGTAGATTCATTGGATAAGATGGACTTTAAAGCCTACTTAATACGCCAAGAAGTAGTAACAATAAACATCAGAAAGTTCTGCCAGCTACAGAACAGAATTCAGTTAAACTGATATAATTTTTATCCGGATATTCAAGCATAAGGGTGATTTTCTTGAATTTTTACCCAATAGTATTTTCTCAACTGAAGGTAAATTCCATATCAAAGGATCTGGTGCATACATGCAACTTACCCACAAGATAACAAAAGCAGTTGCTCCGTAGGTATTCATGATTATACTGCCATAAATACAGTGATTTTAATTCACAACTCAGTTTTAACCATTAAATTGATACAGTTCTCCATGCCGATTAGACTTTAATCATAAAAATACAAATTGCATCACTAAGTCTAGTCTTCTGCATCCACAATTAAATCATACAATCTTTTTAACAACATGTTCAATCTCTGTTTTGAGAGGAAGTAAGCCTATCTTCCTTTCCCTGGACCATCAGTCCACTGAGTGTCAGAAACAGCCACATTTCCAGTTGTCCATCCATTGACAACTTTGTAACACTTGTGCCAACATTTTCTTTCAGCTTAAACAGTGTTTTTTCCTACTGTACATTTATCTCCCTCACCCTGCATATTTACAAACAGCCACCTTATCTCCAACAGCCTTTAAGTAGCTAGGCTGAACAAACTCACCTTTCTAGTTTTGCTTTCTTTTTTTTCTTTGTAAGATATGGTAGCCCTTTTCTATGCATTTTAGCATCTGAATTAATGCTTTTTGAAAACAGATCACAAGAAATGTGACACTAAGTGAAGTCTTTGTGCCTTGTATAATGGCATTAATATTCTCATAAACCTACTGCAAAGTTCCCAGTTGCATCAGAAAGCTCTTAGATTGTCTGGAGAAGCTAGATGTCTCCTGGGGATTCTTCAGGGACAGACTCCTGTACTGTGTTGTTTGTTTTGGTTTGGTTTTGGTGTTGTTTTTTTTTAAAAGCATTTTCCATATTTACACAATACTGGCAATGTAATACTGACAATAAATCAGGTCAGCTCCAAAGTGCAAGGTCAGAATTCTGTAAAAGGCTTTGGCTTACATACTCACATTGTTTCCTTCTGAAGCAAGTCCATACACACAATAATTGCATCCAGAACTAAGCGAATTTAAGAAAAAATCTCATCTAGAACATGAATCATGTCACAGAGGTGTTTCTCCTATGAAACAATCTTCTGTTTTCACCCCCTCCCAAACACTAACAAACATGCATTTTAGTTAACAAGCAAACAATTTTCTGAGACAAGTACTCTTCAAATATCTACTGTGCAAGAAGTTCCTATATAACTTGTCTGTTTTGTAATCTTGTCTCTTCCCCATTTATCTGATGGAACAGTAAAAAGACTGCTTCAGGGCCCAATCTTTTAACTGTCAATGAGGAGGCTCAAGTCCAATGAAAGAGCAATCTAATCTTTACAACATTACTTTGAATCCACAAACACAATTTACTTGTACTTTCAATACATGATACTATTTTCTCGAGCAAGTTGTCCTCCAAAACATCTGCATCTGGCAATCTCTTGATAGTTTCTTCCTCACCACAATTTTCATTGGGAACATATTTTTATCACTGTGCACAAACCTGCCCACCGATTGAAGAAGGAACATGACTGCTTCTGCTAAGATACAGCTGACTGGCTGCACGCTTCCCTGAAACAGCTCTGACAGTCTGAACAGACCTCACTACAATCATTTTATGGCCAGAAAGAGGGAAGACAACACGGGAAGTTAGAACAGTATGTAAATGAAACACACAATGGGACACTATAGAGATCGCCTTGTTTTAAAACTCTTCACTTTATGCAGCTAACAACAGAACACATTCAAACATGAACAACATTCAAACCAGCAAGTGACATTTGGTAGTGTTAGAAATACTTCATACAGAAATCAATCTGATACACCTCTATTCTGTTTTGTCTGGCTTCTGGTACTTCTGCTGACATATTTCGTAAATAATATTTTTATTTGATGAAAAAGCATAAACCAAGTTCTGCAACACTATTTTTAAAAAGACATGCCTTATTTGAGGCCTAAAATTATATTATTGCTATCTTTGTTATCTTTAATTAACAGAGCACTTCATAAAAGTAACGATTCCCTAAGGCCAAGACACCATCTGCTAGCCTAAAAGAATGTCAAAAAGCAGCTAATCTGCTTTTAAACAAACTTACAACCACAAATTAGCTGAACTCTGACAATAGTTAAAACTTCGGAGGCAAATCTGAGCCCATTTCACAACACTAACTTCCTGTCTCCTATGTAGCTGAATCAGTTCAAGAAGAGCTCTACAACGAAAGGATACAGTCTGCTTGTTCAGAGTCTGGTTTAATAACATCTTGAATATCTTCCAGCAGATCAAAATCTGGTAGCATTAGTGACCTATGTACAGTAATGTTTTGGTATTGATCCCCACGGGCGAGGTCATTCCTAGTACCATCTGTGCCAAACAAAACTACAGCAACTTCATCTTTACTCTCAGCAAAAACCTGGAAACAGAGAAAATACAAAACAGGTATAAAAACACAGGTAGATTCGTACACAACTATGTTAGGTAGACTTGAGCACGCTGAACTAATCTTGAAACAACATCAAGCACAATGGATTTACTTTTTCTTACTTTTTCAGTCCTATCCTACCTTACCTCTGCAATCTTACAGAGAGTTCACTCATTTAGATATAATTAAACTAGCAGACTGACATGAGGATATCTGGCATAAAACAAGTAAAATTGGCTGACTTAGTCCTTGAAATGAGTCTTCAGTATGGTAAATCTTAAGAAGGTTGAAACATTTTAGAGAAAGAGAAGAGTACTTTTTTCCCCTAAAAGTTTCTACTGCCCTAAAGAAAAGGAGTGACCAATCCAACTGCCATATCTCTACAAAAGTACAGCTGAAACAAAGAGCACTGTTACTTCTGCATAAAAATGGACTAATTCTTACTCATTTCTCATTTATTTCAATTATTAGTAAATGAGGAAAATATTTCACAGATGTCATTGCTTCCTCTCCCTTTTTAACAGTTTTTAATCACATGGAAAGTCACACATACCTGTCGCTGCACAAACTTTGTCATAACCTTCTTGGCTTGTTCAAGTGAAGACTCCTCACCAGAGGCAGAATTGCTCATTGTAAAGCCCACATCCAGGCACAGCACTATGGCCGCCTAGACAGGAACGACAATACTTAATAAGAACGTAAAAGGGCCAATATAAGCATAATTACTTAAAAGGGTTAGTTCAGATTCTTGAACATACAAAACCTAAAAATCAAACTACGTCACTATTGGTTTCTTTTACAGTAACTGTTATTCTCACTGAACTGAGAATCATTTAATCCTGTACCATGTTCCAGGCATCTCAGTGGAAAATACAAAAAATCCTACGTTACACAATAATATGTTAAGAGGGGCAATTTCTGTTCAACCCCGTGAACATATCAGGGAACTAAAGGCCCACTAGGAAATAAACCAGAGAGATTTCAGTTGACAATTACCAGCACAACACAATACACCATATCTGCACAACACAAGGTAGATATAGAAGCTTGTGGCCTAAACTCTACAGCAACATCCACCCCTCGCAGTAGCTCGTAATAGCTGTAGACCACTGTTTGGTCTAACCCAAGAACATAAGAATGACTGCAGTCCTATGGCTTCCAGGGAGAGCCAGAACATTTGTTGCTACTGGAGGTGTCTCTGCAGTGATCACCGGTGCCTGCAGCGCACAGCTATGCTCTTAAAGCCTCAGAAGGATGAATTCCGATTTCAACTTAGGGGCTTAAATCCCACAAGCTAGCATATGTGTTTGCATTTCTGATCATTGCTTTAACCAATCTATATATAAGTGCCCAAGTCTTCCCCTTAATTGATTTATAAACTAGCATATGAATAAAATAAAATTGCATCTCGTGATTTCTCTTGTTCAACATTTATTAATAATGAATATTACCTGCAATGTGTTGCTCATTCAACTGGTTTTGCTAAGTTCCTCTAAAGTTCTTCCACAGACTCTACTTAGCTTGATTAACCTAAGTAATTTTATCATCCAGCTGAACGAAGGTACAAGACCAATACCGCAAAAATATGTCCTGCATCTCCAAGGACACTGAAAAAAGGCCAGCTCAAATTTATTGTCACCGATTAAACCAAGGTTTTTTTAAGTACACATCAAAACCTTGTCTGGTGGATAGCCAGTAGCTTCAATTACACTGTGTACAAAAAATTATTGTTTGCCAGAACACAGGAAAGTTAGGTATTACCTAGTTTGGAACCAGTCAGCTTGTTTTCAAATACAAAATATATCCAGTTCTTTAAGAAGTGAAGCTGCCAAAAGGATGTGGGCAATAAATCAGAAGATTGAGAATCAAGCGACACAAGATGCATAGTCTGCTTTTGCAAAACAAAAGGGATGAACAGAAAGAAAAGGTGTTGGTCTAAGCTCTTTTGCATACGACCATGCAAATAACTCCAAGTACCTTTTTAAACATCAACCAAAAGAACCTGATTCTTTTTGTCACCCAAATAGATACTTCTTAATATCAAGTTTATAGAAATAATTTGCCCAGATTAGCTGTCTAATACTCTGAATTAGCAGCTCTCAAACTATTTTCTTATCCTCCTCCTTTTCCCAAAATATATTGTGCACCTCCCCTGTCATTTTAACAAGCACTGGTTTAACTCCCCGCATCCTCCTAAAACAGGACAAGGGGAAGAAAGAAAGACAACTTAGCAACACAACTCCACAAGACATCCAGCAGGTTATACTCAGTCTCAGCTTATTCCTCACTCTGTTTTCACTGGTGGCTTGCCTGGGAGCTAGGAATTAATGCCTCTGAGTCAGCTAGGTCTGCAAAAGCTTAGAGTGAAATAGAGGCAGTAACTGGGGCTGCACTAGGTTCTCACAAGGGCCTTGTTACTGCTCACCTGCCAGCCTGAGGAATTACTCTACCAGCTTCAGTAACTGCAGACCCTCTGCTTGTTGCTGTCCTGCCTCAAGACACACCATGGCTGTCAGCTGAATTAATCCTGTTGTCAAAACCAGGTAAAATGCTCTTCACAGCTGGCAAGATGACAGCAAAGAAACTGAGCAGATGCAGGAGCGAAGAGCTGCTCTTTTGGTTGAGAGAAAATGATCAAGTGTCAAGTGCTAACATGCTCTTCTGGAAGGCAGCAAACTCCAAGCCTGGTGCCTATTCAGGTATGTGGAATCCTCCAGGAAGAGGGCAGGTCTCTCTTTTGGCAATCCTCCTCTATATGTCCCTTCATCTGTTATTAACCTCTGTGCATCTCACCTCTGAGCATCCAGTACTGCCATTTTCAGGGGCAGTATACTAAGCTACGCTTTTAAGATACTCAGCATGTGTGATTGTAGGACAACATTGTCACACCTGAGCTAACATCAATCTGCTTTGCTCAAGTACTGATAAGCATGAAAACAGAACGAGCCTGCCTTGATCTCTAACCTCTCAGTGCTGAAGCTAGTGATAATAAAGCTAAGAGAGATATGGCTACAGCAGCACTTTAGCCTTCAGCACAGACTTTGCCTGTGTTTAACAGATACTAAACTGCCCTGTATCAGAACAGAGCTTAACACAGCTTTCACCAACAGGATGCCTTAAACGTACCAGACAAACAAACTGCATTTTTAAAAGGGCAAACCCATTTCTATTATTTTAGCAAGAGCAACAGCAATTACTACTGTGGTAGCTGCACTGCGCTCAAAACTGCAGCTGCCCCCGAGACAAGAATACTTTAGTCCCTTTGAATTAGACAGCTTTGTACCAGCAGCACTTCGGAGGTCGGCACAGGGAGGAGTCACTCGGTGACTCGGAGACGGGTTTTGCAGCCCCGGCTGTTGTGTTTAGAGACGGGTTTTGCAGCCCCGGCTGTTGTGCCGTTTGCTACAAATACCGGGTCAGCTCACCGAGGGCCAGCCGGGCCGGCTCCGCCCCACGCTGACTGCGGTACAGACAAGCCGCCTAAGGGCAGTAAAGCCAACTCCCTCAGGTGAGCATGAGCGGACCGGCCGTGTTCAGCTCCCGGAAAGGCACTACCGAACAAC